GGCATGATGACGTGGGTGCTGCCACGTGTACTACCGGTGGCTGATGTGAGACCTCCCACGTATATCACTGGTTGACGAGGCGAAGCTATGTGACTTGTGTTGCTGTTCTGATTATCGTCACTCAGGAGGAGATCAAGACTGTGGAGAGATCGTGGATACTTACCTGGTTGTCTTCATGTCGACATTGCTCTATCGCTGATGAGGGACTGACTAGACGTGCCACGTGGCACATTTAGGTTACTTCAGATATTCGTTCAGATCATTGATTATTGAGGTGGGGATTGTGGAGGGAGCCCGAAGAAGCAGTGGGCATTGTTTCTATCTTCCCCCACTCTAAGTCTTTTCTCCCTCTCATCTACCTCGTCTGTGTATGTCTTCTTTCTCTTGGGTATCTGGAAACGAATACGATTATTGATAAACATCAGCTGGTTGAAATTTACCTGGGTTCATTGCACTTCCCTTACTCACCTTGCCTATGCCTTGAGTCAGTCAGTCCTGCTTTGTTTGCATTGACTTTGCTGATGACTATGTTTCCTGATGTTCTCAAAATTAGGAAATTGGCAGAATTGATATATGGCACATCGAAATTAAAACCGAATCAAAATAAATGTTCCTAAGACCGGGGACCGGCGAAGACCGCAATTGAAAGGTCTCGCTCGAAGCCGGGCGCACACAATAGGAAGGGATTTGCTTTATTTAATTTATTTACTTACCGCAAACAACTATCTGAAATCATGCGTGACAGCCTGTTGGCTTTCTGGTCGCCATAAATGGCCTAACTAGAAAAAGTGTGATAGCGCGCGCACACACACGAAAAAGACAAACAATCACACACACACACACACACACACACACACACACACACACACACGCACACACTCTGCTTTGTTTACATTGACTTTGCTGATGATTATGTTTCCTGATGATTTTGCCACAGTTCTCAAAATTAGGAAATTGGCAGAATTGATATATGCATGGCACATCGAAATTGCATAATTATTATTTGCATTATCTCTGTTGTTCCGAATCAAAATAAAAGATTCCAAAGACCGGGGACCGACGAAGACCGCAATTGAAGGGTCTCGCTCGAAGCCGGACGCACACAACCGGAAGGGATTTGCTTTATTTAATTTATTTATTTACTGCAAACGATTATCCAAAATCTTGCATGACAGCCTATTGGCTTTCTGGTCACCAGAAATGGCCTGACTAGAAAAAGTGCGATAGCGCGCACGCGCACACGCGCACACGCAAAAGACAAACAATCACACACACACACACACACACACACACACACACACACACACACACACACACACACACACACATACACACACACAAGACACGATCAGAAAAGGAAGAAAACAAACAAAAGAAATCGTGCCACGTGGTACAGCCACATGCGGCAAATCCTGTAAGCCCCCGACCCCCCCCTTCCCCAAGCCCTCACCCCTTCCCAGTCCCCCCATCTCTGTCTCTCTCACACACAAAAAAAAAGACGGAAAAAAGAAGAACGGAAATGGAATCGCACCACGTGGCGCAGCCACGTTGTGATATCTCGCGCTTTAGCTCTCCCCCCTTACTCCTTGGACACGCTCCGACTTCCTCTGAAACCTCTCCCCTTCCCCCTTCCACCCCCCGACTCACTCTCTCACAGATGAAGAAAAAGAAAAATGAAAAATAAAGACGATCGAGCCATGTGGCTGCGCCACGTGCAGTGCCTTTTAACCCCCTCCCCACGTGGTTGCAGCTTGTGTTTCTTTACCCACTCCATTCGCTCAATTGGTGCACCCGTCCTCCTTTCCCCGAACCTTATCTCCCACGATGGCTGCACTTGTCCTCCGCCCTGATCTCAAACCCCCATCAACTGTCGCACCCATCTTGCTTCTCCCTAGTCCTTACTCCCTCTCGTCCTCCCCACTCTCCCCTTTGCATGCCGATCCAGAGACGTTTTTCGCCCTGGTCATCATGTAACCCAATCCCATCATCATGTCCGCTTGTTTCCCTCTCCACTTCTTCCCGACGTTGCCCTGTTTGTGCTCCTTTCGCCGATCAGGGGACAAAAACGAAACCACCATAGCCTGCTCCTCCCCTTCCCACTCCCCCCCCCCCCCCCCCCCCCCCCCCCCCCCCCCCCCCTCTCTCTCTCTCTCACACACACACACACACACACACGTTAAAAAAAAAAAGATGAAAACAGAAAAAATGATCCAGCTATGTGGCACGCCTTGAGAACCCCTTCCCCACTCGCCTTCCCCCTAACCCTCCCCACATGGCGCAACTTGTGTTCCTTTACCCACTCCGTTCCCCAACTGGTGCACTCATCCTCCTTTCCCCTGTCTCAATATTCTGATGTCGTTATTATCTTACCTTCTCCTTGTAAATCATGCTCATGCTCCTTATCTTCCTCATCGTTCTGATGTCGTTATTATCTTACCTTCTCCTTGTAAATCATGCTCATGCTCCTTATCTTCCTCATCGTCTTCATCAATCAGCGCGGTAATGGAGGGGTGCTCTCTCTCTCTCTCTCTCCTGTCTCTTATACACATCTAGATGTGTATAAGAGACAGGAGGTGGCGCGTTGCACGGCTTGTCACGTCAAACTCTCTCTCTCTCTCTCTCTCTCTCTCTCTCGCGCGCGCGCGCACGCACTCACGTTCGTGCATGCCTGTGTTGTCATGTTCGCTATGGACAACTCCACAAAAGGGAGCATAACTGTGCCAAACTGTTTCATCGGATTTTAACCGACTCATCAGTAGGTTGAAACCCGACAGTCTGCTCGAGATGCATTTGCGTGTGTGTGTGTGATGTCACGTTCGATATACACATTTGAGAGAGAGAGAGCACCAAGCAAGGAGCACCCAGCACGTGACACCGAGCACCAAGAATGTAGCACCAAGCACGTAGCACCGAGCACGCAGCCCTGACCACCAAGCACCAACCACGATGCACACCGACCATCGAGCACCGACCACGACACAATCCATCAAAGCATGAGAGAGGGTAGGCGGGAGTATGCATGGGAGTAGGCGAGTCGAGCAGCCGTGAGTGAAGGCCCATCAAGTAGGCGCAGGTGTAGGAGCGTCGAGAAGCCCCGTGCGTCGAGCAGGTGTGTGAATAGATCGGGCGCCCACAAAAAGAGTGAAAATGTGGGCCGCTTGGGCGTTTTGAGGTCCGCTTGGGCCCTACCGGCTGTCCAAAGATCGCACGGCGATCCAGGCCGTTCCCGGCCCGACGGCCCCGATTGCCCCGCAATCTTAAAGTTTTAAGATCGCAGATCGCAGGGCAATCCATCGCGGGGCAATCTGGGGCGTCGGGCCGGTAGGACCGTGAACGACCTGGAGCGCCACGAGATCTTAAAATCTTAAGATCGTGGGCAATGCAGGCCGTCAGGCCGGTAGGTTCGCGAACGGCCCGGATGCCAAAATTCTCACATTAGCGATTTTAACAAGTGTATGGATGTCTATTGCAGACCAAAATGAAGGAAGAACGCTCACCACAGAAGACCATGCATTCAGTATAGCACTCATGGCCACAACATGGACATATAGTGTCCGGATGCGAAGGGTGCCTGCAGTCAGGAACGCAGGGACAGTCCTCTACAAACATGGATGCAGAAACCATCTGATTGTAGTGATTGTGACAGAGACGATGGCGGCTACAGCCGAGTGCAAGTGTCTGTAGCTATGCAAAGGAGAAGGTCGCAGAGTGTTGGTACATTGTCCTGCTGAAGCACGGGGCCAGAGGAATGATGATCTTCGACATAAAAGAGATTGCGGACAGTTTGGTGATGCAAGAAAACAGCATCATTAAGTAAAAAATCAGTAACATCAGTCATGGCATGGACCATGACGCCGTTGTCCCACAGCTCCCAGTGGTCAGAGGCATGTACGATGGCCATGTAATGGCCAGGTCCGTGCACAATGCAGGCAGAGATGTGGGATGGAGGATTGAACCACTCACCTGCTCGAGCATTGCGTAGTTCAAGTTGGCGGTCCCTAATTGCTACTTGTAGGACAGCAAAGGTAAAGCCTCTTTCCCTGGTATAATTACAATCCTCTGGCGGTACGTGGGGGAGATCAGCATCAAGCTGAAGGTCGATAGCAATGAAGTCTGATGGTGTATAAAACGGGCGGTGGAGAATGTGAAGACAGATATTAGTTGCAGTCAGACCGCAGAGATTGGTGAGGGTCTCGGGCTGGTGTGCTGGATGCTGGCCAATGATTTGCAGATCACCCAGCTGGTGTTGCAAGCCCAAAATGTCTTGGGTTGTTTGCTGGTCGGTCATTTGCAGATCACCCATGTGGTCTGCGCACGGAGGGGCCCAGATTTGTGGTTCGTCCAAATGATGATGGTCGGCCATTTGCAGATACCCCATGTGGTCTATGCCTTGTGGGGTTAACTGCAATCCGGCCAGAGCGTTCTTCCTTCATTTTGGCCTGCAATTGACATGCCATTTGTCGGGAGTGTATGGTTGGCATGCTCAATGCCAGCCATCGTGGCAATTGTTTTGCTGATAATGCTCAGCTAGGTCTTCCATGTGCTCACCGACCTCATCCGTACAATGTGTGTCCTCTCTGTCGTCAAGGACAGACTCACTCTTGAGATTTTCTTATCCTCTCCTTTGCCTTCATAATCAGATGTTGACAGAGATGCTGGAGGTGGGAGATGGTGGCGAGTTGAGGGAGGAGTGACATTGGTTCTTGCTTGTGTCCATCTACATCTTCTTCTTCTTCTTCCATTCTTCCTCCTCCTTTGTCTGTTTTCTCCTTCCAATCTCTTTCATTTCAGTTGCAACTAAACGGCAGTGTCTTCCTTCGACTTTGAGTTCTTGCATTGTGAGGTATCCAGGATCATAACAAATTGCTTCCTTAATGTTGTTGTCCACTTTCTACTGGGTTTGGCCTTCAACATGTGTACATCTTCTGGATCTCCACAGGACACAACAGCTCAAAGCCCTACCAGTTGAGCAATCAAAGCATGTTTGCAACTCCACTTACAGGCCAAGAAGGAATGGCCAAACCTCAGCCCGTATCATTCGGTCCACACCCTGTACACACTCAGCACAAGAACAATCCACGCGTAGCCAGCGAATCAGAGGTTCACCATCAGCCACAGAAAAATCTGGATTCCTACATCACAGGAAATAACAATAGAACTATTACAAGCAGGTGCAGCCAGCGCAGCTCCGCCCGCGAAAAAGTCCGGAAGCAACCCCAATGAAGAATCTCGCTTCGCTCTTTCCGTCTCTGACTCTATGCTTTCTTTGTTAGTGTATGGCTGGTGCTTTCTGTATCACTGTTTTAGCTCTTGGCGTCTTATGTCTTTCTAAGTGTTTGTGGAAAGCAGAATAGCAAACAGCAATACTCACAAACAGCAAGGTTATACACGGTCACAAACAGAATAGTAAACAGCAACGAATCTTCAACGATTCGAAGAACATTATCATCGTCACCGAGAAAGAGACGACTCTATTTGTTTTCCCTTTCTCATTTGTTTTTCCTGCTACACACAGCGTCAGAGCTCCCTGGAACTTCGGGAGCTCGCACCAGTCTGACAGTACATGCGGAAAGGAGCTACCACACCCCACCCGCCCCCTTTGCACCTCCCTACCGAGCCAGCCAAAGCACCTACCCACCACCTCCCCACCGAGCCGGCCGAAGCACCTACCCACCACCTCCCCACCGAGCCGACCGAAGCACCT